GAAAAAAGAACAGCTGGCTCCGAGTTTTGGGGGTAAGTGCTCATCTACTTGTTGGATGCTAGAGCCCACACAATTTAAACCTAAACATCTGTTCGTTTTCTGATTTTTTTTAAAAAAAATACATTTTTATTGATTTTTAGAGAGAGGAAGGGAGGAGAAAGAAACATCCATGTGAGAGAGAACTTCGATAAGCTGTCTTCCACACGCCCCCTACTGAGAATCGAGCCCACAACCCGGGCATGTGCCTGGACTGGGAACCAAACCCGTCACCTCTTGGTGCGTGGGTCAACACTCAACCACTGAACCACACTGGCCTGGCCACTTTTCTGATTTTTATTATTTAAAGACCCCACTTAAAATAGGGAAGGTGAAGCCAGACCATGTTGGGCAACTTGGTCTCTCCCAGGCTACAGCCTGACTGGCTGGCCAATGCCTCCTAAGACATGGCCAGGCCAATGAGGGACTGGACAGTGCCTACTGCTCCTGCTGCGCTTGGCTGGGGTTGCCCTTAAAGATGGCCTCTCCTGGCTGAGGGTCGGACATGGCCCCCCAAGGCCCTTTACCCATACGCGGACACCAAAAGGGAGTGTGAACTCTGGCGAGGGCAGTAACCTGCATGGCCTTCCTCCTGCGATGTCTGCTGTCCAGAGAAGGGTCTAAAGCTTTATTCACTTCGTTGATGTTGATCTGGTCATCCACCTCCTTCATGCTTCAGCGCACGTTAGCTGCAGAAAGGCTCGGGGACGGACCAACACATATGGCCGCCTGCCGTGTATTTCCCTGAGGCAGATACTCCAGTTTCACCATCTTTTATTGGATACAAAGCCATAAATTCTCTGATGCCTGTGTGAGTCCTTTTAAATACATACACTCAGGTACATTCAGCAAAGGGCATCTATGGGTGACGTGGAACAAAGTGCTGGGACGGTGATGCCTGGGTGGGGCCAGTGAAGGCCCCTGGGGGTTGGAGGTACAGGCACCACTTCAGAAACAAAACCAAAAAATGCTCTCCACCCCACTGCCTGGTGTGCTTGGGGTGGGGGAAGCGACCCTCACGGCTCAGGCCCATTGCAGCCTGGCTGAGCAGGGAAGGCAGGGCCTGGGGGTCAGTTGTAGTGATCCCCACCAGCAGTGCCCACTCGAGCCAAGTCTCATGCCAGCCACCAGGGCAGCCTAGGTCACCCCGGGCCTCTGAATGCAAGGCCCCTACCAGGGCAGAGCTGAGGCGGGGAAGCCCCAGGCCAGCTCTCTGGGGCCACGCCAGTGGTGGCAGGTGAGGCTTGGACTCCGTGGGGAAGCCTGCCTGATTGTCTGGGCAGTCTTGGGACTGGCCAGGTTCCCAAGGGTTTGGGGAGGGAATAGGAGCTGGCTGCCTTAGTTGGCCCTGGTATTCTGATCTTCACCCAACCCTACACCTTATTCAGGCAAGGGCTGCAGAAGAACACACTTGTCCAGGAATAAATACATACACACAATACACAGCAATATATACAGAAATGCAGGCCTGGGACAAGGCTGGGTGAGACAGCACGGCCAGCAGGGCTACAGAGAGATGTGCCAGGCCCCTGGGGGAGGGAAGTTACACTCATCAGGGACTGACTGGCTGGGACAGATCCCATCAGTTTGAGTCAACTCCTCTGGGCACTTGCGACCTGCACCCACTCACCATCTCTCCTGTTATCACCCGAAGTCCAGCAGGAACTGGGTCTTTGGCACCAATAGTCACTCTATTAAGGTCTTCAATTTAGCGCCTTACAAGGACTGGGACCTGGGCAGCTCCCCACTTGTGGCCCAAAGGACCAGAGACGACCAGGGGGACAGGCAGGACCCCAAGGCAAAGGATGGAGCCAAACCTTGCAGCAGCAGGCCTTAGGAAGGAGGTGGGTTTTTCTTTCCTTTTTTTAAAAAAGCAATTCATGAGGGGCTAGCTCAAACTCCACTCGTGGGACTACAAAAACATGAGCTGCCTTGGTCCTTAGGTGGTCTCTCCTGTCCAATTAAAAGCCATGGCTCTGGGCAGCCCACTTCTCCCTCTGGGATCCAGACATCTGTAGCATCTCCTTTGTTCCCTGCCAGTGCTGAGAAGGCAGCCCAAAGAGCATGATGAAATACTCAGGCTAAGTACATTGAGCCCCCATGTGCTGGGGTCAGACCATATGGCAGGGAGGGGGTCAGGTCACCAAGTGACCCCACCCATGGACCCTCCATACAAGCCTGGGGCCCCTGGAGCAGGGCCTGCCTTGGTTTGCTCTCTGAACCTCCTCTTTGCATCCTGTTAGGTGTGAGATATGGGTGAATGAAGGATGGCAGGACCCTCCATCCCTGTTCCCCATCATCGGCCCTAGCTGTAGGGTTGCCAAAGTGAACAAATGGAGCATTCCGGCCAACAAAAGCTCCCCCTTAGCAGTGGGACTCATCCCCCTGAAGAGAGGCAAAAACAACATTAAGTTAGTAGGGGTGGGGGCCTGCAAACCTGCCAGTTCTCAGGGCAGGAGTGAGCTGCCTTGGTCCTTAGGTGGTCTCTCCTGTCCAATTAAAAGCCATGGCTCTGGGCAGCCCACGAACCTATCAGCCCCAGGGCAGGTGTGCACTAGGACATGCTATAACCCATGTTCCTGTTGGCAGGGGCCCAGGCACGTGGAATATACACTCCCAAGTATCCTTCACTTGGCTGGAAAATACAGGGTGGGGGACTTGGTGGGTTTTCTGGAAACAGCCAAACCCATGAGAGGCAAACTTCCTACCAGCAGGAGAGGGGTTTTGTTCCCTCTGCTGCCTGCAGGGCTGGTGGTATGCACGGCTGTTCCACAGGTGAATGCCTTCATGAACCAACTACTGGCATCTGTCCTTTCCATACTACCTTTCTCCAATTTTAGCTCATGGCCCATGCCCCCTGACTTCCTTTCCCAGGGCTGACGTCGGGCATCCCGCTGGGTACCTACCCAGGGAGAAATTGCCCAGAGCCTATATTTAGGGATGGAGGCTTCCTGGGACAGAAAATGTCCCCCATTTGGGCCCCCAGACTCTGGCCAAACAGGGCATCCCTTTGTGCTTTGTCCAGGAGACGGGGAGGGCAGCACCTCTTATCCTGGGGTGATGGGGAGCAGGGGCTATAGAGAGTGCAGATGGAAGGAAGGACTGATGCATCAAGGGCAGCCAGGCCCTAAGGGGACCTCCACCTCCTAGGCCAGCAAAGTTGTGCTTCTTCCCATGATGCCTGGGGACAGGGCTGGGGAGGTGGGAGTCAACAGAGCCAGCTGCTCTGGGGTGGGATGCTACAAGGCCAAGGCTTCATGCAGGACAGGACAGGGAGTTGCCAACATGACACCCTTGGTATTTGGGGTCTTCAAAGGGCAGGGTCAGAACAAGCCATAGGAAGAGAAGTCATCAACAATGAAAAGAGCTGGGCGGGCTGCGTGTGGAGCCAGGGAAGTTGGGTGCACTGCTGAGTCTGTGGGGCCCAGCTCTGGAGGACTCGTTCGTTGCAGGGTAACCCCGGGCTGGGTCTTGATGTCCAAGCCATGTTGTGGCAGAAAGCTGGGTCCCTGGAAAGAACTGAGAAACTAGAGGAACCCAGCCCCAGCCAGGACCTGGTTTGGTCCTTTGCGGGAAAGAAGGAAACCTTAAGATGAATCTGGGTGGATGTTTGAAAGAACTTTCCAAACGAAGGTTGGCAGGACCCATGACCTCTGAGCCACTATGGGAGTTCTGAGAAGGAACTAGGGAGACCTGAGTCTAGAGCCTTGGTGCTGGGACCTGGTCCTGTGGGGACCATGTAAGGATCAGTGAAAAACCCACTTGCATTTGTTCTGTGGCTTCTAAGCCAAGTGGCTCTGGCTTGGCCCCAGAACTGGCCCCAGGCAGAAAAATCCCAACAGAGCCCTCAGCCCATGGGACCAGTTGAGACCGAGGAAGGGGGTCAAGTCCAATGAGGGTGTTCTTCCTCGTTCCTGGCCCCACAGCCTCTCCCTTCCAGGGCTACATCTTTAAGCAAGCTAGCCAGACAAGGAAGTAAACCAAGCCACCCTCCACTGGCCTTCTCCAGGCCCCAACACAGAGGTCATCCCAGTGACTCCCTCCCACACAGCCGTGGAGACCCAAAGGCCTTCAGAGACCTGCCCAAGCACCTGGATTAGAAGGCCACTCCTGAGGACAGAAGCTGCTTCTCACAGGTGACTGGGTCTTCCAGAGCTAGGGCCTTGACCCTCCAGAGGCTTGGGATTGCTGACAGGCATGGAACATGCACTTTTAGCTCGGAATTTAGCTCTGGTGTGTCGTGGGGTATGTGATTGTTGGGGAGGGGGTGAGGGAGTCTTGTCCATATCAGTAAAAACTTTTTTTCTCTTCCTAGCAATTTCTCCCTTTGTGAGGGATGGTCTCAGGGTCCTGGGGAGATCTGGGTGAATGTTTTGCCCTTCCAAGCCCAGTCCCATTACCTCATTGCACCCCCATCCCCCACCTTGGGCTGACCACATGCCCAGTCCCCTAGGCCGGTGTGTTATCCTTAAAAGAATGTAGACCCAAAGCCCAGGTGGGCTGTCTGAAGGGGTGCCCCAGGAGGGCTGGGGTGGAGCAGGGTGGGGAGAAGAGCCCTCCTTACCAAGTCTGAGTTGCCTTGAGGAGCCCCCTCTGGCCTGGGGCCTAGGAGGGGACCCTGACCAAGAGGCTGGGCCTCAAGAATGGGAGGCCTGCCCGAGCAGCCTGAGCAGCCAAGGGTCACTGGGTGGTTATTGCAGACCCACAGGGTGAAGACACCAGGTGCTGGTGGTGACAGCTTCTTGCTGGCTGTGCTCAGAAGGCTGCTCCAGCTGGAGGTTGGGTGGGAGCCGGGGGCAGTTTCTGTCCAAGCCCCTGCCTGGAGAGTCAGTGCCCAGGGTCAGGCCTATTGCTCTGCTGTCTCAGGAGAAGGACAGGAAACTGTCAACCCCTCCCTGGAAGCCAGAGATAACACCAGGCCTCTGAAGGTCTAGTCCAAATCAGGGTCCCTCTGGAGGTCCAAAGAGAGTGCCCTGGGTGGGGCTGGCAGGGGCCCTGCCGCCCCTCACCCGGGTTAGCAGCCGCCTTCCACCTTGATGTGCAGGATCTTCGAGAAGCCGGGCCTCCGTCGCAGGGCCTGCGGACCGAACCGGGTTAGTTCTCCTTGGGGCCAACTCCTCTAGGTCACACAGAGGTCAGACCTTCATATAACATACCCAAGTCCCCAGCCCCAGCCTAGGGTCGTGGGGTCTTGGGTGGCCTCAGAGCCAATGCCTCACCTGGAGTTTTGTCACCATGTCTTCAAACAGCTTCTGGGCCTCAGGACTGCTGGGCTCTTTGAAATAATCGGCAATCCCAATCTGGACCACAATGGACTTGAGGTTCCGGCAAATGCCTGGGCAAAGGTGAGTAAGGTGGGGGCCCGTGTTAGGCCTGTGCAATGGGCTGCCTCCTCTCCTGGCACTAATGAAACCAGAACCTACTGAGACAGTCACATGCCAGACACTGGGAACACAGCCAGGAGAGCAGACCCATGCTGCCTAAGGGCTCGACCGAACAGCAGAAGGTGGAAGGTGATGTCAAAGAGCAGAGGCTGTGGACTCGGAAAGAAAGTAGGCAACTGCTGTGCAGAAACTCTGGGCACTTCCTTGGCAGAGGGGACAGGTGTGCTATGACCTGCGCATTTGGAAATTAATTATAAAGACAGAGCAGCTGAGGTGAGGCTGATGGGTCTCGGCTGGAGCACGGAGGAGGGGAGACAAGGATCAAAGAAGTTGGGAGCAAAGGGCTTTAGGAACTAGATATGATTCTGAAGGTTGAGTAGTTAGTTCTGGTGGTCAGTCCAAGGCAAGGCCATGAAGTTGAAGGTGATGGAAGAATTGGATCCTGGAAATAATAAGGTCAAAGAACCTTCAGTGCTCAGGACATGGGGTCCTACCAAAAGTCAAATGGTCTTGGATGATGGTCTCACTTTATGTGTGTGAGCAGCCCAAGCTGGGCACCTATGTCCTCTATGCAGGAAGAGGAATGACCGGAAGTGGAGTGGATGGCTGGAGGCATGACTTGGAGTCTACACCAGGGAGAGTCTTCCCTTTGGAGAACTGTCCTTGGGGGCTCACACACATCACCTCATTTAATCCTCCCATTCAATCTATAAAATCATCTTAGAAGATGGGGTACAGAACTCAGAGACGCATAGTAAATTGTCCAAAGTCACATAGCAATAAGCAGAAGAGTCAGAATTGAGAGCCAAGACAATAAAGCCCCAGAACCCATGCTTTTAACCTGTCTCTTCTCCTGCCTCTGCCCTTGGCTGGAGGCTCACATGGGGGCAGATGATGCTGCATAGCTCCTGTCTCCAACGTGGGTAGAGCACAGAGCAATCGATGTCTGTTGAACTGAACTATTTGGACCAGATGCTGGAAGGCCTTGAATGCCACGCTGGCCTCTGAAGGCACTGGTGGCAAAGCCAGGACTAGAACCCTGGTCATTCGAACCCAGCACTGGTGCTTGCTGACTAGGAGTGACAGGGGACTGTTTATGCTCCTTGCTGACAAGGCATGGTAAGAGCTGACACTTGCACCCCGCCCCGCGTTCCCCATCACTCACTGTTGAAGTGCAGCAGGGCCTTGGGGGTGACAGGGGTGGCCGTGAGCACCAGCATCTCTAGTCCTTTCAGGCCTTCCCGGCAGACCTCAGCTGCCACCTCCTGGGTGATCTCCGACACGTGGTCCAGCTCCAGGACCTGCAGCCGCATGCAGTTTCTTGCTAGGAAGAGGAAGAGGGGAGGTCCGGCTGACGAAACCCCCAGGTCACCTCCTGCCTACCTGGTGCTCCTGCTACCACCCAGGCTGCAGCACAGAGCCCCTCCGAGATTTCACTGTCCCACCCGTGCCTGCTTCCCACCAACTTCCACCCCAGTTCCAAGCAAAGACTCACCGAGTGATGCCAGGCCCTGCACCCCACAGCCGGCGCCCCCAACCCCCAGGGCCCTGAGGTGGGGCCAGCAGCGACCAATCATCTGCAGGCAGCGATTACTGAACCTTGTGGGCTGCTGGCTGGAAAATAGGGGGAAGGGAGGGCCATCAGGAAAGCCTTTGGTTGCATGACACCCAAAGGCTGCTCCTCCTCTGGGGTCTCCCTCAGCCAAGGGCCCCACCAACCACCCCAACTGCTCAAGTCAGAAACCTAGGATCATCCCTGACTCCTCTTCCCTCACCTCCTGTCAAGACCCACAGATTCTGACTCCTTGCCAGTTCATCCTCCAAACTGCTGAGGGTGAGCCAGTCATTCCTACATCCTCTCACTCAGTCATTCAACAAATGGTTATGTCTACTACAGCCAAGAACAGCTGAGCTAGGCCCTGGGGATACAGTGGTGATAATATAGATAATGGTCCCTACCTTGAAGGAGTGGACATTGGGTGACTGGGGGGACAAAGAATGTTACCTGTCTGATGTAATCCACTTTTTAAGATCTAAAAATCCCCCTTAGGCAAGGCCTTCCTGACCTGGCCATAACCTGCCTTTCCACACTCACTGCTTGGCTCTGCCCACCACTCACACCAAACCGGCTGTTTTCCTGAACACTTCATCCCTCAACACTTGCCCAGGCCACAGACGCTGCTCTGGCATCTGTTGCGTGCTTGGTACCACGGTTGTGGAAACAGACATTTTCAGCCTCTGCCCTGAGAACCACGAGTCTTATAGAGACTGAAATACAGAGAAACTGTTGCAAAACGAACTACAGCTGAAGTTGAGACAAGGTGCAGTAGAAATGAAGGCAGGAGAGCAGTGATAAATTCTACCGGGGTGTTAGTGAGGGGACATTGGAGGACCTGGGAGGAGTTGTCATATGAAGAGAGGGCTTGGAGGGCAACGTGCAGGCAGAAGACAAGCCTGACATGTCAGAGGAGCTCTAAGGAGAGTCATGAGGGACCTCACACCCTGGACTCTCCAACAACCAGCTCTTTGATACATTATGCACTGACCGCCCTGAACTGCCTTTCACATGCCAAACCACCCTACCTACTTCTAGCTAGTGTTTCTTCACCACTCACCGTGGGCCCTGCAGGTTTTATGGACACATCTCATTTGAGCCAGCAACAGTCTTAATAAGGTTAACAGATCCCTAATACCTCCTTCACTTTGCAGGTTGAGAAACTGAGGCACGATTGGGTCGCCCAAAGTCACACTGCTATAAGCCAGGACGACCCCAGGTCTGATTTGAAGCCTTGCTCCTAACGCCTAACCACACAAATTGATTAATGTGAACCTGTCTCCCGAACCAGCTGATGGAGTGAGCCCAGATCTGCTCAGTCCTCAGCCCCAGAACGCACCCAACTCTGTCCCTTCCTCACCCCTGCCAGTGCTCACCAGGGGTGAAGTGGTGCCACCTGGAGGGAGACGATCTCTCTGCAGCCTGCGCCCAGGGCCCAAATGACCTCATGGCCAACGGGATCTGTAGCGCTCCTGTTGAAAAGACAAAGCTGGGGCACCCACCCTGGTGGCCTCTGCTCCTTTCTCTTGGGATCCTTTGCCTGAGAGCCCTGGGGGAAGGGTATGCAGAGCAGAGCCAAGGATCCCTTGGGCCTGAGGCCAACCCTCTTGGGGTTGCATCTGACAGGGTGGACAAACCTGTAGGTGACGGCCTGCAGGGCACGGCAGTAGCAGCTGGCCAGCCAGAGCGAACGGTCGGTGAGGATGTTGGGACAGTGGGAGATGCGCAGGATCAGCAGGTTGCCCCCCGCCGCCTTCAGCAGGGACTCCAGCCCTGCTTCCAGGCAGCCACTGGGGATGGCCAAGAGATCAGGGAGTGGCTTGTGGCCACCTCCTGGTCTGGGAAGCATCCCCACGTAATTCCAGGTCTATAGCCCAAGAGCACCCACCCACCCACCACGGCCTCACCGGGTGCTCCGGGCATATTCCTCCTTGCTCTCCTTCTTGCCCCGCTGCCGAGGCTTCAGGTTCTGCAGTGTCAGCGAGTGGGCCTGGGTGCACCACTGAGCCAGCATTGCCAGGAACTGCAGGGAGAGAAGGGATTTCCTGGGGATGAGAGGTCTCAGCTTGGTTGGCTGGAGGAGGACCAGCTCCAGGATAGGAGGCCCCATGAGAGCATTTTGGGAAGCCAGGCAAGAGTTGGGGTCTTGTAAGGGTTGCAAGGACCAGACCTGGAGGGACCAAATGCTAGAGAAGGGCGAGGATGTGTGTGTGTGTGTGTGTGTGTGTGTGTGTGTGAGTTCACAGCAGGGATGAGTGGGAGGGCAGGGGCAGCAGGCAGAGACAGGCACCTTGGAACAAACTCGGGCATTCTCAAGCAGCACTCGAGTCCAGACGGCAGGGTGGCGGGCCACAAAGCGCCAGTCCCGGCAGACCTCGGCGGCATGCAGGAGTGTGCGTGTGTCCAAGTAGGTGAAGATGCAGAACAGGGCAGCTCGCATCTTGAGGATCTCCGGGCTAATGACCTCGTTGGACCGTGAGGGGCTGCCCCTCTCTGCTCGCCGACCCCGCCCACTGCCTCCCTCAGAGCGGGCTGCATAATACCAAAGGGGAAAAGGTCAGTGTGGAGGGTCAAAGGCCAGCATGAGGATGTGGGTGAGGAGCTACAGTAGGGTAGGAGCTGAGAAGGCATGAGCATGAGACCCATGCTGGGGGCCAGCGCCTTGGGAGGGAGGACAAGGGGCCTCTGCTTCCCCCTTCTCTGCATCACCCCTATCCCTAATTTTTCAAATTAGAAAAAGATAGCCTTTCCTCAAGTATATTCTTTTTAACGTAATATACCATCACATAGTCTAAAATCACCCCCTAGATGAGGCATCTGAGTCAAATTTGAAGGAAAAGGTTTGGAAGGCTAGGGTATGGATGGATAGAAATGGTGCCTCTATAAACGGAAGGCAGGCAAGAGGCTGTCCAAAACAGTCACGGGGGGCAGCCATATACCCCAACCAGAAGCCTTTCCCCTGCTGATTCTGACCCATCCACATCTGTGCATGGCCTTGTTTGTATATGGGAAGGTGCCCCCCTCCAACTGCTCCAAGGGCCTCGGAGTCCAGAGTCACCTAGCTACTCTCCTGTAAAGGTCAATGAGCCCACCACATAAATGGACCCCCTTAGATGTGGCATCCTTGCGCAAAACCCAACCTGAGCGCCCTGTGCTGCAGCACTGCCCTGTCACACAAGTTCCTGCCCCAGGCTTGCAGGGCGCTGGTGGGAACCTATCATTCTCATTGTGGTCAGTCTGGCGCAAGGGGAAAGGAGGTGCGGAGCCCAGGAGATGTACTGCCTCAGGCCTGTGTCCTCAGAGAGGGCCTGCACCATGGGAAAGCCTGGCCTCTCTGCCCACCCTCCTAGAACTCACCTGAGAGCCGGCAGCTGCTTAAGGGCCCAGCCATAGCAGGCCCAGGGCGGGGGACTTCCGAGGGGCCCTCAGCTTCTGACTCGGTGGTTCGGGAGCCCACATCCGAAATGTCACCCTCCTCCCCCTCCGTGCTGTGTCGGCGGGGTCTACGCTGCCAGTTCTGAATGGCCTGGCGCCGCAGGCCTGAGCTTCGAGGAGCCTGAGCTCGCTCTGAGCCACCGTTGGCAGCCTGGGCCCGTGTGCCCAAGCCCCCAGGGCTACTGTCCTCCAGGGCCCCTTCTTCTGGCCGGGGCAACTCCAGACTGTCACTGTCATAGCAGCCTGAGCTCTGGGATGCAGCTGGGACGCGGCTGGAGGCCCTGGGATGGGGTGAACCACATGGTAAGGAGAAGGGAGGAGCACCAGGCCTGCCTGAACTCCCCATTCCACCCCTACCAGCAGCCAAGGGCAACCCACCCGCCCTACTTTCCAAGAGCCCCCTCTGAGTGTGGAAAGGCAGACAGACAGAGGTGACCCAAGGAGGATGGGGAGAGGAGGGGTCAGCCTCCAGACGGGTCAGCCATCCAGTGGGCCAATGGATCTTTCCAGGGTGAGGGTGGGCTGTGTGGGGAGGGCTGTGTGGGGAGGGCTGGGCCCGAGGCTTACCCTGTGCTGGGAGAGGAGCCATGCCGTGACACCGCATATGTGCTAGGCATGGCCAGGCCCACGTGGTGTTCTCGCTGTGGGCCCCCAGAGCGGGAGGAAAGGGAAGGGGGCAGAGGAGGCAAGAGGATGAGAAGGAGCAGGTAAAACAGGGTGCAAGATGGAAAAAGAGGAGAGAGAAGAAGGAAAAAAGTTGGGAAAGATGGACAAATAGACAGACAGACAGCCGAGAGGCAGGCTCACCAGCCCCCTCCGCATACCCACCCAGCACCCCAGACCCATCTTGTGGCTCCTGGGCTCTCATTTGCAGAGGTCACACCTCACTTCAGCCTCAGGGGCCTGCACTTCTGCCATTTCAAAGGGGCTCCCCTGTTCCTTGACCCCCTACTTCAGGCCTAGAGTCTGCTCATGGGGAAGAGCCAAAGAAGGGAGCATTACAGGGGCAACATCAGGCCACATGTGAGGGGAGTTTGTGGAAGCCAGGTGCACAGGTGGAGGAGGGAAGGCAGGTGGGCACTCACCATTCTGCCTGGACCCCGAGGCCCGGGCCCAGCGCCACCTCCCCCAGCTCCACGGCCCAGGCTGGCACTAGGTGTGCTGCCACAGCTGCTGCTGATGACCTGCAGCTGCCGTTCTGCACGGTCAGCCCGCTCCAGGAGCTCCTCGATGAACTGCTGCAGCCGCAGCTTGGCGCTGGCCTCTCGTGCAGCAGTCTCCTTCAGGAACTGGTCGATCTGCACCACCTCCCTGGGCCCGGAGCAGTCTCTTACCCCAGTGCCGTGGCCTGCCCGCCCACCCACGCTCTGGAGGAGGCCATGGTCAGTGGGGAATGACATGGGCACAGCAGCCGGCAGTGTCTGCTCATGGTCACATGGGTACACATAGAACAGGCCCAGGCACACTGTCCCTCCTGATGGCACACACAGAAATGCCAGCATATACTCCAAGTCACACACTCACCCACCCCCACACACACACACACACCACACACACATTTTTCAGGAACATTCTCAGATGCAGAAGCATACTTCCAATTGCACTACCACCCTCCAGGAATTTCACATACACACAGAACACTTAAGAGTCACAAGAGTATTTACTCCCAAATGCAGTTGTTCATGCATCCACTCAACATTGACCAAGTACCTTCTCGGTGCCAAGCACTGTTCTAGTTATTGGGGACACAGCAGTGAACAAAGCAGAGAAAAATTCCTGCCACCATGGAGCATCTATCAATATGGGGACAGATGAATAATACCTACACATTTCATAATTTTACATTTAAAGACCAGAGATATAAGGAGAAGCCAGCCAAAACTGAGAAGCAGCAAAGACATAGGGGATCCCAAGAGAGTGCCCTGAAACCAAATGAAGAAGTATTTCAAGACCATCTGTATCAAATGCCACTGACAGGCCAAATAAGATGATGGCTTGGCCTTGGCAACATGAAGGTCATTGGTGACATGCAGGACAATGGTGGAACCTAATCAGAGTAGGTTCAAAAGAGATGTAGGGAAAGAAATTGGAGACAAGGAGGATAAACAATACTTTAAAGAATTATTCTGCAAGGAGGAGAGAAAAGGGGCAGCTCAAGGGTCAGGTAGGGTTATGGCAAATGGCAGAAATGAGTTTATGTTTCTGTGCTTTTAGGAATGATATAGTAGATAGGGAAAATCTGATAAGGGCAAAGGGAGAAGGGAGAATTAAGCTATGTCTTTCAGTGGGCAAACGGGAAGAGAACCTGGTACCATAATGCAGAAGCTAGCCTTGGTTAGGAGAATAAAGAAGAGAAACAGTCGTCACAGACAGGCACACAATCATACTGCCATGGACTCCCATTCCTAAACACACACACTGTCATGGCACTTTCGGCCCCACGTGCACCACCATTACATGCTCTGGCCACAGATCCCATAAGCCATGGCCACAGACACGCTCATAGCCACACTCGTGGTGGTGGCAGTAGCACAATGACACACATGGTCTCCTCCCATTCAGGAACACTGGCAGGCAAATTCATTCACAGGGCCCTGCGGGCTACTCACTGCTGCTTGCGGCTCAGCTCCTGTTCCTTGTGCACCAGGTCCTGCTTGAGCGAGGCCAGCAGCTCCACACTCACGTCCACCTGGCGGGAGAGCTCAGACGCACGCTCCTCCAGCTCCTCCTTCTCGCGCCCCAGCCGCGCGCTCTCCTGCCTCGCAGTCTCCAGCTCCGCAGCCTTGCGCTCCAGTTCGGCTTGCAGCCGGCCCACCTGGCCTGCGATCTTCTGCTCCACCTCCTCGCTCAGCCGCTCCAACCGCCGGTCCACCTCCAGCTTCTCCAGCGCGCGGATCTTGAGACGCGCCAGGCCCTCCTCGTAAGCCACATCGGCGGGCGAGGGGGAAGCGGGAGAGGCGGTGGCTGGCCCAGGGCAAGGGCTGGGGCCGGGCGGCGGCGTCGAGCACGCGGAGGAGGCCACGGACTTGCGGGCGAACAGCTCCCCCAGCGGGATCTCAATCTCGCGCAGCGCGTAGCGAGCGGCGGCGGCGGGCACGAGGCCAGGCTCCGGCAGCTCCTCGCAGGGCAGGCTGGCGGGCACCAGGTCGCCAGGGAAGTGGGCGAGGGGCGCGTGGTGGTGGTGGTGGTGCAGCAGGTGGGGTGTGTTGGGCGAGGGCCCGGCCGCCTGCTCCTTGCCCTGGAAGGACGTGCTCTCGAAGACCTCGCGCCGGGCGCCCGGCACCGCCAGCAGGGCGGCGGGCTCCGGCGCCAGCGGGAAGCCAGAAGCCGCCGCTGCCGCGGCAGCAGCAGCAGCACCGTCGCAGATGCTGTTGGTCTTGGAGAGGATGTAGAGGGTCTCATACGTGTGGCTGTACTCCAGGTGCGCGCGCAGCGACGACAGGCTCCGGAAGCGCTTGTGCTCCCCGCAGCGGGGGCAGCGGTACGGCAGGTCCAGCGAGGCCATGACCCCGCCGCCCCCGCGGCGTCCGGGCTCCACCGCGGCCGCCCCGCCGGTCAACCGGGCGCACTCATGGGGGGCCGCGGGCGAGCCCCCCCTGCGGAGTCAGGAAGGCTCTGGGCACCGGCAGTCAGGGGAGAGGAGGCTAGAAGAGAGGAGTAAGCCTTATGAGAGGTATTCCTGCTCCCCTTCCTCACACTCGGTAACCCCCACCCGTGAGGACATTACTTCCCCTGAAAATACGTGACTAGAAGAGAGAAGACCCATGGCCTGACCTCCCAGGGAGGGCTGGCCAGCTCTGGTACCTGTGCGAGGGCCTGCACATATATGGGTGAAAATGAATGAGAATTCTTGTTTTTGTTTTTTAATCCTCACTGGAGGACATTTTTCCATTTTTTGTTCAGATCGAGTGGGAGGGAGAGAGAGGAAGAGAGAGAAACATAGACGTGAAAGGGACACATCGACTGGTTGCCACCCGCAGGACCCAACCAGGGCCGGGGACAAACTGCCGCCGAGGTACATGCCCTTAGCTGGAACAGACCCAGGGACTCTCTGTTCCCCCCGCTAAGGCTCTAACTGCTGAGCCAAACTGGCCGGGGCAGAATGAGAATTCTTTAAGAAAAAAAGACACTAGTTTTATTTATAACAGTTCCGACCTGGACATAACCCAGGTGCCCATCACCACTAGAATGAGTAAACTGTGGTATATTCATAATGGAATGTTACCTAGCAATAAGAACAGGAACCATCAGTACATGCAACATGGATGAATCCATTCAATGTTATGTTAGATGAAAGAGGCCAGATACGTGGAGTTTAAGAACAAACTAAACTGAAGATGACAAAGTCAGAATAGAGGTAACCCCTGGGGGCCTCAATGGGCTGGGAAGGGGTAGGAGGGAACCTTATGTGATACAGGTGTATATATATGTAAACAATCAAGATGTACACTTGAGATTAGAGCACCATATGTACTTTATGTATGTTACATATTTTTAAAAATCTTTAAAAGAAGATGCTTATTTCCATGTCATGCAAACCACACCCATAAGACAGGTTGGACAATTGGTACCATAATGCAGTAACCAAGATGTCACCTCATCTGACAGTACCTCTGTGTGTGTCACTGTCTGTTCCTGCCCCTGCTTCTGTACCACACCCAACCATCCCTGCCACGCCAGGCACCTAGGTCCTTTTCTCAGATTTCTTTGCTAGGTTAGTCTCAAGTGGCCTTGCCCTGCCCTTTGCCCCAAGGGCCATATTTGTCCTCTCCAGACCTCTTCTGGCATAAGCCACAACCCTTTCTGCTATTCCACTCCTAGTCACCCTCAAATCTCACTGTGCATCCCCCATCACCTGTGGCTTCTGGTCACCCCTCCCCTGCCTTGTGGGATCTCTACATCATTCCTTACTGCCATCCTCTTCCTAACTGCCTGCAGTAAGTTTTCAGCCACCCTCTGCTGTCATTGTGCTCTGCCAGATGACAGACTACCTGCTAGTCAGAGGATTCAGTTGTCATCAGGAGTCTTCACCCCCTTGATCCCTTGGCTGATATTCCTGACCCTTCTGTCTTCATAGGTTACCATTAAGGTGCCCAATTTGGGTTCTCTGGTCTCCTCTTCTAGCTGCCTTCCTAATCTTTGTTTCCTGATGGGAGGTCCTCACACCCTGCCTTGCTCTATCTTCTCCCCAGGCAGTCTGATTCACTCCCAAGGGTTAACTCACACCTTAAATCCATTAAGTCTCAGCTCTGCCTCTGCACCCTGGCCTGCTGTCGAATTCCATTTGTTTTGACATTTCCACATGGTTGTATGGGTGTATGATGTCTGTTCCCTTTGCAGCCCAGCACCCAGTCCTCCTCTTGAGAACAGCACTCTGCTTTGACTTTGGGGGACCATTGTTCCTTTCCCATTTTCTCAGTCCATGTGGTCTGGGTGGGGGTTGATGGTACACCCCTGGCTTCAGGGGTAAAAATGTGATATAGGCCTGGTAGATCAGAGGCTTGGGGTGGGCAAATATCACCCAAGTTGAATCAGTGAGTTGTTTCTCATCGTGTTAATGATTTATTTCTCCAGAGCTTCTCTGAAACTACTGGGGGGAAACATCCTCTTTGGGCTCAGGTTTCTTAGCTGATAGGGAAGGCCAGAGCTTTGAGGGCCATCTTTGGGAGGAACCACCTGGGAATGAAACCAGCATAAAGAAGCAGAACTGAGATGGACACTGTTTAAGATCCTGTTCCGTTCAATTCTGTGATCTAATTAATACCCATTTTTGCTTAAACCAGTTGGACATGGGTCTGTGTTATTTGCATCAGGAAAAAGTCCTATCCCAGAAATTAGAATCAGGAATGGAATTTTTAAAAGTACTAGACCCTAAGAAGGAATTAGCGGAACTAAGGGAAGGAGTAAAATAACTACTCCATCCACTGAGAACCAGCTGACTAAACTCTCTCACCGTCTTTGGAGCTCAGACAATGTTCCCACCAAGGCTGAAACTTTAGGGGACTTGTAGAAAAATGTCAAAATGTCACAGTGTTGGGGTATGGCCTCAGTAAGGTCCAATAAGAAAGAGACACACTCTGGCTGAAAGAGGTCCATCTGAAAGCAGAGGAAGAAAATGCAGCGATGCCCAGAGAGGCTCTTTCTGCCTGAGGCCAGTAATCCAATATGGCTGAGAGTCAGATAATTAAGAGCCAGTTCTCTGCTTCTAGCTAAAGTCAGCTCAAGCAAAGACAGGGAGTCTGGAAACACAGAGGGAGACAAACCTGGGGCCTGACAGGCTCTTAACTCCCCAGTCCCTGCTGAACCCCTCCTGCTGTGCCCTCCCAGCTCAGCAGAGGCAACCACTGCTTTCATTATAAGCAGCCTCCCACTGGGATGCAGCTTGAGTGGGAAGGGGCAAAAGAACTGTGCCTCCCACCTTAGAGTAGGGATTTGAATTGCCCTGTGGCAGAGGCCTAGCTAGAGGCCACAGAACCATGGGCTCCTGGGATGTGCCGAGCACCAAGGCCTGTTGCTAAGAGACAACCCCTCCTTCTTCCCCAACACCATCACCAGGGACTCGATTCAAGAATTATAACTTCCAGTGAGGTCTCTAGTTTGGTTAATAGCTCTGGGGATGACTGAATGCAAATTGACTGAAAGCTTCCTAATGATTAAGGGAATTTTATTGCCAGGAAAAAAAAATAAAACACCCGCAAATCTGGAAAACAAAGGCCAGGGAATACTTAGCTCCTACAGTTCCCCACCCACCAAACCCTCACCAATGGGAGGGGACTCCTCAGTGCTCCCCAGTGGTCACAAAGCACAAAGGACAAGGGTAGCTGTCTGAAACAGCAGAAGCAGAGCAACCAATAGGGACCAGGGAACCTTGTCCTCACCAACTGGCCGAGCATGTAGAACATGCTATGGACTTGTGACCACTGAGTGTTTCTCCTCATCTCCCCTCTTCGACTGGGAGAGTGTTTGTTCTTTCATGTATCTGATTTCCCCCCATCATTGTAGTCTGGCCATACATTGAAAGACGATGAGGGGCTAGCTCAGTACCTTGCCAAACAGCCCGCCAACAAGATCTTGAAGTGGGGCTGAATGTAGTAACTAAGTGAAAACTTGGAACATCTCCTTCCATGTATGGAATGGTATGTTCTGTGAAGGGATAGTTGCATTATGATAAACAAAATTTCTTAAATGTTATGGGAGAGGATTTTTGTACATCTTGGATAGCCAAGAGGTAGAATGTAGTGGATATACATTGTTTTTGCTGCTCAGTTCCAGTCCCCCTTTGTTGATACCCCCTCTTTTCCCTTAGAGAACTATTCCCCCCACTTTGAATGGTTGTTTGGTTAGGGCACCCCACACTTCCTAGCCCCTGGGGCGCACACGTGACTTTAGCCTCTTCGTCAGTCACAGTGATCATTCAGTAATGGGCCAATTCTGCCACTCAAGGACCTGTGCTCAGCTGGTAGAACGTGAGCCTGGATCTGCTTGTGGCCATTTCTGTCCTCTCTTTGAGTAAGGAGAAAAAAAGGCTCCATATGACATCACTTGAGCATCCAGATCCAGATAAGCCTGAAACAGTAACCCAAGACTTGTCAATTGTGAAAGGCAGCAAATTCTTTTTGTAGCTTAAATCATTTGAGTTGGTTGCCAGTCACTAGTAATGAGATTCTGGGCTAACACAATGACCAACAGTGTTAAAAAACAAAAACAAAAAAAACCTTGGACTTCCTCTTGCCTATTCCCTAGCATCCCTATTTCCTTCAACGGTGCCACTGTCCTCCCAGTCACACCATACCAATTGGCCATCTTGATTTTGCTCTCTCTGCTAATAACCATCAAGACCTGCTGATTTTTCAACCCAATTGTTTTCATGCTTTGTGCTTCTCTGGGCCACTGCCTCCTCATACCTGGACTGCTGGCCCAGCCTTCAGTCTCACAGTCCTGTTCCATCTTATATTAGGCACCAGATTCCTCTGTCTACAGGTGACTCCTGCTCATGCTCCTTCAGTGGCTCCCCGTCGTCTTTTAACTGCAGCCAAACTCCTCAGCTTCACACTTTGGCTTCACTGTATTCCTGCCAATTTGCACATGAAAAATGGCCTGGCTGTTTCATTTGCGTTTCTTTGCTTACCATGGCTGGACATTTTTTCACACATTTATTATCCATCTGCATCACTTGGTGACTTGCCTCTGCACTACTTTGCTCATTTTTATACTGAACATACATATTTTCTTATTGATTTGCAAAGGCTTTTTATAATATTGAGTCTTTGTCATTTATATACTACCATTATTTTTCTTAAGTGTATTGACTGGTCATTACTTTTATTTATGGTCTTTATTGATATACTAACGTTTAAAGTTTGCTTCAGTAAAATCTTTATGATTTCTGATTTTGTGCTCATGCTTAGGAGGTCCATCCATACCCAATTTATGTATAAAGTTACATATGTTTTTTTTTTAGTACTTCGTGATTCCTTTTTGTAAAAGTACAGAAAAAGAATTCTT